AAAAAAAAAGTAATGCTTTTATAATTAACACTACTTTAGATGATAAGAGTGGTGAAAAAAAAAATTCAGAAATTTTTTTTTTTATTAAAATATAAAGAAATTTTAAAATTTTTATTTATTTTTTTTTTTTTTTTTTTTTTAAATAATGGAAACTTTATTAAAAAACTATTAAAATCCTATTTACAATTAATTCGCTTAAAAAAAAAAAGAAAAAACTATTCATTCAAAAACACTATTTACAATTTCTGTCGATTTAAAAAGCACTTAATTTAGCTTATTTTTCTGTTGTGTAAGTCTGTCTAATTACAATTGTGGAAGAACTACGAGCGACTTTTGACGAAAAGCTTGCTCCTTTAAAAGTTGAGATTGCCGAGCTTAGATATTTTATTGAAAATGCAAACCAAATTACGGTCAAGTTCTGAAGAAACTCACTGAGCAAGAAAAGGAATGTAAAGAAATCAAAAACAATTGATGATAAGATTAAAGCTTGTTCTCTTTCTCAATTTAAATCAAAATCAAAACAACAGTATCTTTCGCTGCACTAACAGGGGCGGACCCAGGATTTTTTTCAATAGGGGGTGCACTCGTCTCTTGCTCTACTTCAACACCAATAAACCACATAGTTTTTTTTTTTTGCAGAATACCAGTTGTATTAGAAAACCGCAGGTCATCTTAGGGGGGAAGGGTGCGTATTCTTCCCCTAGATCCGCCCCTGACTAATATTGGCAATTATCTTGTACTTCGCAACTTCCATCCTACTTTTTCACTCTTCTTACAGTAATACGTGCTAGTGTGTGTGTGTATGTGTGTGTGTTTATGTGTATACTTATTTAAAGTATCTTACTGAATCTGGCTTCTTGGCATTTTTAACTTATTAGTTATTTCAGGAATTTATTACCCCTTTTAGCTAACTGATTAATTTAACAACTTGTAAATAACTATAATATTCTGCTTTGGGTACAATAAAATTTTTCAAAATTTGTTCTTTTCTTTGTTGTTGTTGTTCTACTTGACGACGATATCGTATAGCCGAGTGCTTCACTTTTCACTATTGATACCAATTGATACCAATTCAATCTTTGATTTGTGATTTGTGCAAGATCATGTATTCAAGATCAATTTAATAAGTGAAGATTAATACTTAGTTATTATTATCATTAATAATAATAATGATACGACTACTACTAATAATAATAATAACAAAAATTGCCTTTATGCTTGTACCTTTCAGTAGCAATCAGTTTTTAGGAAGAAAGTATATTTACTTTAATTGCAAGAAGAATTTCTTTGAGTGATTAAACACAGATCGAGTCGACATTTTCAGCTGAATAACCAGCACTACTGCCCTACAAAAACTTGAGTTAACCCTTTCCAAAACGTTATATTCAGCTGCAATTGATGATTGACGTAACAAACAAAAGAAAAAGTCGTTCAATTCAAAAGAGATTTTTAAAAAAGCGGAGGAAAGTTATTTAGAGTTTTTGTTAAAGATTTACTAAAATGAGATTAATCTAGTGCATTTGCAAACGGGCATAAAAATAAAGCCAAAACAATGATATGTTTTTATCACCTCTGCTGATAGCTAAAGATTCCCTTCTTCCATTATAGCTAGAAAAAATAGCAGAAAGGCTTTCTCGACATGAAAGAAAAGAAACGTTTGGCCATCTGATCATGAGTTAACGGAAGATCAAATTGATGTTCAGTTCAGGAACAAAAACGCTATTATTCACCAGCGAACACATGTCAAATGGTAAATAGCTGTTTACCAGTGTTTTAAAATAAGCACTTGTATACATCCATTTACTTTGAGAATTGAAGCAGGTGATAAACCCTGATAAAACATCAGATCCCATAAAAACAGGTCGGCGCAAGAGCTAGTCAATACTCTCTTGAGATAGCATCTTCAAAGATGAACCTCTGGATCGGAATTTCAGTCTTCCTGCTTGGCATTTCAAGCTCTCAAGGTAAGATGCAGCCAACTAATGCTTCCTATCGAAGGAATCGTGTCAAATTCTGTATGAATGTTTTCTGTTTTTCAGTAACCTTTTAACTTTTGTAACGAGGAAAAATGTATTTGAAATTACGAATTGTAGTGGTACCTACCTGATTCGATTTCTTTCGGTGTGGATGTCTGGGACCCTTTTGCATTCCCTCTCAAGAAAAATCCCATAAAATCTTGGTCTAAATGCAATCAAATGTTTCTTCAACAAATGTTAAAAATTCATAAAAAGTAGAGCACATTAAAGGAGAGACCTTCCCTACGAGCCCCTTACGACAGATACTCCCTCTTTCTCGAAAAATGCCTTAGATTGGACTAAAATTAGTCAAGGACTTTTTGGTAGCATCCCACACGTACCCCTTGATTTGTTTAAGTCCGAGCCGTTCCGGTTACCTGAAGGTGATCGTCATTTGCATTTTTGCGCGTGCTAATAACCGTGAGCACGCCATGCGACAATTGCTCTCTTAAGCCTCTTCCTTCCAAGCGGGGTCCAATCAGGCCCCAGATGATGGCTGAGAATCGCTATTAATAGCTGGCATGGTTCAAAAATGTTCTGGATTTTAAGGAATTTGACTCCATGTAAAAGCCGCTAAATGCATGATACTTTTAGATTCCAGGCCCGGTTCCTGAAAGACCGATTAGCGCTAATCCAGGATTAAAAATTTTGTTCTATTTTTGTACTTTCCTTCCTATGCATTATCTGGAGTAAAATTCTATGCTATCATCACTGAATCTCGGAGTAAAGACACAAAAGTATTTTGTAAGCTCGAGTAAGATGTTCTTAGACAAGAAAACCTTGCTTAAAATTTGGCTTAATCCTGGATTTAACTTAAGCATCTTTCGAGGAACCGGGCCCAGGGAACTATGAAAACTTGGCTCTCTTTTTCCCAGTGGGGGGCAATTAGACCCCAACAATAAAAAACAACAGCTGCAACGGGAATAGCAACATAAACAAAAGACAAGCAAACTAACAAACAAAAACATCTATGCATCTTATACCACAGTTGATATTTCCCTTTCCTATCACGTGTCTCCCGCGTGACTTCTCGCCACCGCCCCAAATGGAGAACTGGCTGCGAAATGACACACCTATTGACATAAAATTGGCAACGCACGAAACAATCCTGAAAATGGCACAAATATCCAATATCATAAAAATTTCGGCAAGCAAAGTTATAATTTGACTTATTGATACTTAGTAATGTACATTCTTTTTTCGCTGAATACTTAATACTTATTTTAATCTGTGCATCTGAATAAACAGCTTTGCAGGCTTTCAGAAAATGCTAATTTAACGCTCACTTCTTTCTAGAACTCATTGCCAACTTGGGAAATCAAAACTGTCACAGTCAGTATAATCATCTAAAATTCTGACATTCTTTCAACTGCGATATGAAAATGACAACAACATCAACAACAATAGCAACGTTACAGCAGCGTCATGTTTAAGTTGAAATGGGTTAACGTTACTGCTGTCGAATTAGCAATTTCAATCAAGTGCTTCAAAAATAAACTACTTGTTAATAGCAAACGATTTTCCTGTTTTATTATCACAGACACAAACTTTTGCTTCAAATGATCTCAGTCAATGGACGAATAAATCAATGTTTACATTGCAATTACAAAAGAGCTGTACCCGAAAGGAAGTCTACTGAATTTAAAAGCTCGTCTCTTTTCAGAACTCAAAGCCAAGTTGAGAAGGTAAAACTAGCACAGTGTATGACACTAGTCTAATTGCCTAAAATTCTAACATTCTTCCACTGGCGATATCATCAAAGAACATGGCAACCGCAACAACAACAACAACAACGTTACAACAGCGTCATGTTCCACAAAATGGCTTTTCACGGATATTAAATTGACAGAGTTGGATCAAATACATTTTTTAAAACAAAGTATAAAAGTTTCTCTGAAAATAAAAATTGCGAAAAATAGCCTCCAGGAATACCTTAAATGGGTCGCTGCTGTTAGTATTTTCAATCAGGTGTAAAAAGTTTTACCTGCTAGCTGAAACGATTGCCCTGTTATATTATCACAAAAACAAACGTTTGCCATGCATGATCTGAGTGAATGGACGACCAAATCGATGTTTACAATGCCATTACAAAAGAGTTGTACCCGAAAGGAAGCCTATTTAATCGACGCTCATGATCAACTAACATTTAAAAGACCGCCTTAGAATTCCATTCAAACGATTGTAAATACAAAACCTTTAGAGAAGATAACAATGAAACAGGTGAGACCACTGATAAAACATTCCTCTCTATAAAAACAACTATGCACTTGAGTTTTTAAGCGCTTTCTGAAGATGAAGTTCTGGATCGGACTTTCAGTCTTTCTGCTTGGGATTTCAAGCACCCAAGGTAGGAAACAGCCCTAACTACTGAGAGTGCAAAAAACGAAAAACGCGTATGAGGTTTCGATTATATGAATTTTTCTGTCACTTATCCCTGGTATACATGCATTGGCTGACCCCTTTTTTCCTTCCCTGAAATTTTGTTTTTTGCTATTTGTAGCTGATGAAATCACACTCTTTTTCCACAAATAGACAAGGAAGGCACACATCCACAATGCCCAATTTCGATCAGTTTATGTTTTTTTTGATACTTTTATGCAGTTATTTATTTTAAAATGCCACTTTTCAAAAACGCGATTTCGTTTTTCTCGCCAAAACTTCTTAAGAGCGATTTTGCTTCATTTTAAACACATTTTAGGCTGCGGAAACAAGCCATATTCTGCGCGAGTGGTGAATGGAGAAAATGCCTCCCCACACTCCTGGCCTTGGCAGATTTCTCTGAGAGTGAATGGTCGCCATATTTGTGGAGGATCTCTAATCAAGAATGATTGGGTCGTCACAGCGGCTCATTGTGTAGATCGAAATCCTAGACCAAGTGGATATACTGTCGTTGTAGGTAAGTATTTTTGTTTCTGTTTTTTTTCTTCTGTTTTTTTTAATTCCCGCTTCTTAAAATGAGTGATACTGGTCACAAACGTTTTTCAACAGAGTTTAAGGCATTGCGTTTATGAGCCAGACTTGTAAAAAAATAAACTTTCTTTACTCCCGTTCCCGCAGCTTGTTCTTATCATTATTATTTTTCTTTCTTTCTTTCTTTCTTTCTTTCTCTCTTTCTTTCTTTCTTTCTTTCTTTCTTTCTTTCTTTCTTTCTTTCTTTCTTTCTTTCTTTTTTATTATCATTTTTAACCATGCGAAGGTTAAGCTTTCGTTATTATTGTTTTTGCGGGTAAAAGAAATCCCGATTAACTTAACAACCTCACTTACGTTACAAAGAAAAGATGAAAAAATATATTAATAAAACCACTAATATGGGGATTGTAAATGCAATTTATGTAGGGGCCCATCAGCGAACTGGATCAACTGCTGTCCAGCAAACCTTTCGTCTAAAAAAGCTGTTCAAACACGAGCAGTTCAGCATGAGACATCTGAGAAATGATATCGCCCTACTGCAACTGGCAGGATCAGTTTCAGTTAGTTCTAAAGTTAACACTGTGTGTTTGCCGTCATCTGGAAGCAGGATACCTGCAGGAAGACAATGCTATATAACAGGTACTCCAGTTCGAAATTGGTTGTGACTAGAATACATCAAAATCAGGTACAGTACTAGTGATTAGGGTAAATCACTGTTTTAAAAACGGTTAGCGTTTAATAACATAACAATCAATGCCATGTTAAGTACGTTAAAATTAATCTACATCGGCAGTCAGCCCTTGATAGTTTAGTGGATACGGATGTGGATTATACATTAAATGTGCGGGTTGAAGTTTAACATACTACCTAACTTTTTCTTCCGTTTTGTTTCTTCTCTTATTTACCACATTAAGTTATAAGAGTCCTATCATGTATTTTGAGTGAAGATGACAGTCTGACTTTAGGAAATCCATTCTAGTCACAACCGTTCGAAATTTAACTTCACTTAAAGTAACTGAATTGCGAAGGTGCTGTCTTAGGGCCTGTTTA